TCACGTTGGGCTGACTTTAAAGTGACATATTAACCATTTTTATTCGTGCTTCGCATATCACCGATGCCGACTGTACGTGGGATCTGCCAATTTTTATCCCCCTCTGTTCGTGCACGCGCTTCTCCTGAAACGCCTACTGCTTGTAACAGCGTTCGTGTGCGACGCGGACCGCTTGTCACTAGCACGTTAGTGTGCATTTCTTGCAGTGTACGTGGGAGTGTTCCCGCTCTCTTGTGGACGCTGTCAGCGGTCTCGTCGACGAACACCGCTTGAGAGAGCTCAGCTGATGGTTGCACTGCACTGCCAGTCGCGAGTCATGATAGGGCGCACTTCTGCACTCAGCGGAATGACAAACAAGTGAAAGAAGATGCCCCTAGTTTGAAAACACCACCCAACCTAGCCGACCGTCCTTGACGCGATGACTTGTTCATCATAACCAATAATTCGCAGACCTCTGAGGGGTGGATTTGACGTTTTTGTACTGTTGGCTTGTTCATAAGGGGGGGGGGGGGGTGACCAGAGTTCAGGAAGATTCCGAGTTTCGCAAAACTCAGCCAATCCTACATAGCGCCCTTGGCCTGTAATAACCACGATGATTGAGACAGCGCCTCGGAGGCGTTGGGTGAGAGAACGAGTGCTGGGAGATAATTAAAAAAAATATATCGTGAAAGAGACATTATTTTTAGCGGATTTTTTTCACTATCCTGGCATGCTAGGAAAGTGTCACACAGCCTTGTATTGTAGAGTGCAACAAGCAAGAGTGGGCGGGGGGAGGAGTGAGCGTGAGTGGAGATGAAATGTTGAGGGGAATGGGAGAGAGGGTGAATTGTTGCAAAATAAGTGAGACAGAAATATGGATAGAAAGAAATAGAGAAAGAGAAAATTAGAGATAATCAAAAAGGAAGCAAGAAGAAAACAGTGGGATGTAGAGAGAAAGCAAATAGAACGAAGAAAGAAGCAAGTGAAATGCTGAGAGATGAAGCAAGGTATGAAAGAGGAAGAATGATAGACAATTAAGCATATGAAATAAATAAATAAATAGGAGTATATGTAGAAAGAACTGTTCTAATTAGTAACAGAATAACCACTATGAAGTCAAAACCTTATCAGTGGAATCTGCTGTCTTCCATTGCAGCAAAAGTGCCAACAAAGGGTGCTGGCCTGCCAATTTTGCACTGAAACCAGCAGTGTTTCAGCTGGTTCTGTTTGCCCTTGTGTGCTGTGGCAGGTTGTGTTGAAAAGTTATGAAGGCTTGAAAAGCCAATATTTTTAGGCATCAACACAGCATGACGATCCTAGTGATGAACGAAGCAGTGCTGTGTTCACGTGCCCTATGCCATCTTGTGAGAGAAGTGAATAAACCCGTGAAAGGTTCATGTCACACATGGTTGGAAATTTCGAAAGTGGGACAAGGTTTGTTGCTTGCCCTTTCACTGAATGTTCCAGTGTGTTGAGAACAGCTGGATCACTAAGGAGTCATGTGTCTAGATACCATTCAACAACGATGTATGCCGCACAGGACACTCTGCAGCGTTTAGAAAGGTCAGACGTGAGTGAGACCATGGAAATAGGTCAAGAACCGGGCCCTAGCGGAGTATGCACTCATTCGCCAAGTGACAGTGTGGTCGACAGGCATGATTCAGTGCCTTATTGCACAAGAGATGCTAAGCTTTTCAGTGACAACTTTGCGCTGTTCCTGTTGAAACTCGAGTTTGAGCATCATGTGCCTGCAGCAACAGTACAATACATTGTCAAGGAAATGCAGAACATTCACAGCCTGAACATAGATATAACTTTGCACAGGCTTGGGAAAGTTGTTCCAGCTGATGCTCTTGCCGCCGTTAGTTCTGCGTTTGCTGAGGATGCTTTTTCAACAACAGTTTTTTTTATTTCTTCCTATCGGCGGCACAGGTATTACAGAAACAGCTTTTGTTTTGTGCCACTAACAGACATAACACTAGGCATAAACAAGCAGAACACTGCTTCTGTTATCATTATGTTTCGATTGAGGATCTCATCCATTTTTTGGCTTGTTGCGCACCAGCACTTAGCCGAATTTCTCATCAAAATGCATTAGATAACTGCTACTACAATTATGTTGATTGCAAGTCCTTTAAACGTTCAGAGAAAAATGTTGTTTGCCTCATTCTTCATTTGGATGAATTTGAAGTAGCTAATCTATTAGGCTCGTCTAAAGAAAATTTCAAGCTGCTCGGTGTCTATATCACGGGGATTTGAATTGCATTGTAGCTCGCTGGTCCAAGGCATGCAGTTAGAGATGTGGTGCCAGCAGAGAGATGTGAAAAAGTTTGGGTTGGACAAAGTTCTGGACTCATTGACGCAAGATGTAGTCACTCTTGAAAAGAAAGGCTTGATGATTGATGCAAGAAACCATCACGTTAGACTAGACTTCATTACTGGTGACAACCTAGAAAGCCACAGAGTTGGCGGTTTTACTCAGAATTTCAGTACGTCCATGTACTTTTGCCGTTTTTGCCTGCTGACACGCTCAGAGTTTTACGAAAATCCCCATGTGGTTGGGCGAAAGCGCACCCCAGACAACTATGCTCATTCATATGAACGGCGTGCAAGCTGTGAAAGTGTGCAAGATGATTTTGGTATCATCAAGAATTCCCCTCCCCACGCGTTAGAGCACTTCTATGTATGCCAGCCTGGGTTACCCCCATGCATCGGGCATGATGTTTTTGAAGGTGTGGTACAACATGATGGGCCATTGTATATCGAATATTTTGTCTCTAAAAAGCCTGGTTCAGCTATGATTACCTGAATAACAGGATTTCTACAATGCAATACACTGCGCATGATCTGCGCAATAAACCAGCCAAAGTCCCCAGGAAGGGCAACAAGCTCGGTGGCCATGAGTTGAAAAACTTGACTTTGTTGAGATTGTTGCCCATGTATATGTTGGCTCAAAAGTAGCTGATTATATTGACCCCACATGGCAGCTTTGGGTGAAGCTGACGCATATAACAGATCTTGTAATAACTTCTCTAGTAACGTCCGCCCAGGTGGCATTATTAAAGGTGATCATTGAAGAATACGTCACAACTCGATGCTCCCTGTTTCCGAAGACCAAGTTGCGCCCGAAGCATCACTACATGTAGTGAGTGTATTCAGATGTTTGGCCTTCTCCGCCATGTCTGGACTATGAAATTTGAAAGGAAGCACCAATACTTTAAGCAGTGCATAAGGTGCACAAAGAACTTTAAAAATGTCAGAAAGACAATAAGTGAGCAGCATCAGCTTCTCCAGGCACTCCTGGCTGCAAGGGGTGAATTTCGATCTCCTGTGGAGTTCACAGAGATGGGAGAGCTTGATCAGATGAGAATATTCAGTGACGTGAGATATGGTGTAATTCCTACTGTCAGTACCCTGCTCAAGAAAGCAACTGTGGAACGTATCAGTTACTCCATCCACAATCATGTGCTTGTATCATGTACGCGGTATGAGACTGTCTTCGGAAAAATTGTGGCTATAGTGAAAGGTAGCTGTGAAGACATGTTGGTGCTGGTGAACTGTGTCCATGCGACTTTTGCATCTGCTTTCTTTTTTATGTGTTGGAAAGTGGCATTAGTGACACAATACTCTTGCGCCACTGACAGCTACATGACAGAACACCATACAGGCCGGGCACTGTTTTTAGTGCCTCAGTAATACGCCTGAAATCTTCATTTCCAGAGAAACAATAAATATTGCAGAATTAGATTTATACAGTGTACAAGTGGTTTGTTTGATATTTGAAGCGCAATGTTCTGGCTGAAGTGAATACTTTAATTTAATATCTTTGAATAGTAAATTTGATTTGCTACTATACCGGGTCACTAGTTTTCCTGGCAGCTGTGTGTTGCTTTTTTTTGTGTATATATAAAGCGTATGCCAGGTGTATGCCCCTAAGTGATTCAATATTGTCTGAATTGTGCTCTTAAAATATCTGGCATCATTTATTTTCTTGGTCATATTTCTGTTATAGACTGTTATAAAGACTATATACTCTGAGTGCGAGTTGCCTGCTCGCTTGATTAATATTTTATAATAAAAGTCGCCTCTCCTTATGGCTTGAGAAACATGACCGAAGTGATTTCATGTTGTTTTTCACGTAACATATATTGGACAAACATATTTAGGGTTGCTAAAGAAGCTTCTCTCGTAAAACTGCTGGCTTGCCACAACAATGCCAATAATAAAAATATGAAGTGGAGACCAGAGTGTGAAAAAACATCCTCCGTGACGCTGTCAGAGGTGCTTGCGCAGGCAAAGAAGAAGGGTGTCTGTGGTTTTGCAGATGCTAAGGCATACAATGTATTGTTCACTAAGCCACATTGATACAAATCTAATTTGATTAGGCTACCTAGATGATTTTGTTGCATTTTGCGGCACATTACTTACATGCTTACCGTGTGTACTTGATTCGCTATCATTTGAAACCTGCAAGTGATAACTTGCAGTTAATGCGCTCAGTTTTGCTCTCCCCCTTTCTCATTTTCCTCTTCAAGCTTGGTGTCCTTCCATGCTTTTTGCTACGCAATATGATACAACGCTATGCTGTGCTCTGCTAGCGTGCTTGCTTCGGATCAAGGGTACACAGGTTAACATCCAGCCCTGTGAAGATCTTTCTTGGTAGGAATTTTTTGTTTTTATATATCTTTATATTTGTCTTTTTTTTCTGTACTCATCCTCTCACCCATCAGGGCTACTACAGACTCAATGCTATGGTATGAGCTCACAGGTACATCAGCACCACACTACACCTCACTTCTATGACGTGAGACGTAGCAGTGAGTAGGGCGATTTGCGCTGATTTTGTGGAACATTTACCTACTCATAATGGCGGTAGTTTCACAGCAGGATCAAATTTATAAGACGGGCATAAATAGCTTCGCCTTTATATCTGCTCAAGTGGAATGTCCAAAATGTTTAGAGTCGTTTTTGAGGAAACGTGCTCCTAACATTGGTCAAGTGTATTCCTCTTTATTTTCCAGGAAGAAACCGGCATTGCAGAAAAACTCCCTGAACTGTCACACACCCCTACTATCATTGCACTTGGTATGTTCAAACATGAGCTTTCATTGCTTTGCTATATATGTCCGAATAATTATGTAGCCTAACTTGCATTGAACATGTTATCACCACATCTGCTCCTTTTATAGTGGGGAGGGCAGGAATGATTGTGATGTCAGAAAAGATTTTTATGTGCTCCTTTTTTTTACTATGTACAAAAGTTTCTTTCCTTTGGTTAGAGTTTCGGCTGGCTGTGCTTAAATATTATAAAGGATACACGTGTTTTGTCTTGCGTATTGAACAGGTTTTTTAATTTTGAGTACAGCTTTTAATGTGCTCTGGTGATGTAAAACCCTGTCAAAGATAACCACAAGCAGCCTGCACATTTATTGTATCACTTTGGCTAGCTTAAGTGAGAAGATTCCCTACCAGCAGTGGCCGATGACCAATGATTGGAAACAACTGGGATTCCCATCCGCTTCCTTTATCATTTGCCAATGCCCAGACAGCGTGACGAAAAGGGCATGGCCTACAAGCAAAATATGGGCGAGATGGTAGGGAACGCCTCAAATCTTTTTTTTAAGTGCGCGTTTCTCTTAGCTGTTTGCCATTCTCAATAATTAGAACGAAGCAAAAATTTGGGAAATTATCTGTGATAAATAACACGAAGGCCAAGGGCTTTCCTCACACATACCATGGTTACTGGCCAATGCTCACAGAATTTGCTTCATCAAGCTTACTTACTTTTGTGTATTATATACTATTCGACAGAAATTCGCGGCATGCGAGCACATTCAACTGGTAAAAAAAGTAAAGTGGTTAGAGCAGATGTGTCCGTTTCTTTGGTCACTTCGTCGGGAAGTCAGACGAACAGCTACCGTACAGCCACGAATGCTCATTTTGTTCCGGTCATTAATTTAGTTCGCACTGGCTTCTCTACGAAATACGTCTGTTTTGTTTCTTTTCAATCAAAGGACCCAAGTGTACCAGCAAGAGCACGGTGTGGCACTTAAACTGCACACGTTTTACCACGCGCATGCCATTTGGCCCATGCACAGCCCTACTGCGCTTAAGAAAAATAGTTCACCAAAGCTCACCACAGACAGGTATTTTCAGAAGGCCACAAACTGGAACGGCTGTAAAGCACTTGCGTAGCAGTAAAAAAGTTATAAAAAATATTGCAATTCATTTAGTTTTAGGCCAATATAAAGGCATGCACCGTTTGTGCTCGCTTCCACATTCCGCGGCATGTTACGTGTATGACTGCGCGCTGTCTTCACTTCGTTCACACGTCGGATAGACGTCAAGACCGTAACAGCAGTGCTGTGACGAGCTGTTTATTCAAGTTGAAATTGGAGGTGAGTAGATATCAGCAGTACGTGTATTTGCTCTTGTTCTCTTAGTGTCATATGCGAATTGGTGGTCAGGTTTACGGTGGCAAAAATTGCGCATGTGTAAAGTAGCAGGCGCTGCGTAGTCCTAGCTGTAGTCCTAGCACGTCTCGGGGAGATTGCACATGGCGCACACAGCGTCTTGTTACAAGTAAAAACCGGACATTTTCGAAACGTTGTTCGGTACAGTGTTCGAGCACCGGTTCGATTTGGCGTAATTTTTAAAATTAACAATACACTGTTTTCGGGGAAAACTTGAAGTTAACTGAAACTACCCGGTTCTTAAGGTTTGGGTGCACGTTAAAGAACCCCAGGTGGTTGAAAATTCTGGAGCCCTCCACTACAGCATCTCTCATAATCATATGGTGGTTTTGGGAGAATAAACCCCACATATCCATCAATCAAAACTGGTTCCTAAGAACAGGCGCTTAGCCGCTGGTTGTGTATGTGGACGCGTGGTGCGCGGCCATTTTTTGTTCGCTTCTGGCGGGACTGCCTGCCGCTGACGAGGAGTGCATCTTGCTAATGCGCCATGCGATTTAGGGTTTACGCCAGTGCTTTATTAGTTAATTAAAAAATATCAAGTTGTGCGTGCGGTCATACTTAAAAGGTTAAATAGATATGAAGGCTTGTACCGAATTCAAGAAAGTCATGGGTCACCTACCATCTTAATTCAGCCGCACGTATAACATTAGACAGTTTTAGAATAGCGAACCGCGAGCCCTTGCGGTGCTGCCGCTGCCACTGCGCATGCATTGTAACGCGAGTCGGCGTTCGTGTTTGCGGATCGCACACAGAAAATTCGAAATTGCGTGCGGCAATCGCAGTCCGCATGTGGCCCGCAAGAACTGGTTTCGAGGCTACGGGGTTGCTGTTATCGTGCGTTGTGGTGCAGCAGGGCAGACGCTATTCCAAAGCTCATAAGGCGCCCGAAACGCCTGCAGCGCTTGCAAACGGTATTCTAAAACTTCCTATTTTTTTTTCTTTTACGTAATGCTTTGACGCAATAGGGTTCCTCGCTATTTTTGGGTCTATTTTAGTGGAATCCTACTTTTGGAAAAAAATTGATATGAAATTTTAGCTTCAGCGACTTCAGGATTTAATTTATTGATATTGAGACAGTTGTCATTTCAGATGTTGGCACAGTTTGAAAGTTGTGGTTAGTAAATAGGTACACAACGTTAGCATGCGATGCTATCCCGAATGTAATGCATTTATTCAGAATTTTCATCATGTATTCTGTCGTAAATGATCTATCATGGCAGTATCTGGCCACTACCTCCCACACGCATACGTCAATTAACTCACGGCCCTCAGTCCCCAGCAGCTGCGAAGCAACTGACCACGGTGGGGGCCAGATCTGCATCGCAGCAGAAGGTGCTTAAAATCTCTGGATCCGGACAGACCACCATTGGAACCTGACCTTGGCAACGTTTAACGCTGGAAGCTTATCTAGTGAGGCAAGTTTAGCTGTCCTATTCGAGGAGCTAGAAGGGTGTGGAATGGGATATAACAGGGCGCAGTGAGGTTAGGAGGACAGCTGAGGCCTATACGGTCCTACAGAATGGGCACGTTCATTGCTATCGGGGCTTGGCTGACAGAAGAGAACTGGGAGTGGGGTTCCTCATTCACAGAAACATAGCTCGCAATATAGAGGAATACTATAGCAATAATGAAAGGGAGGTAGGTATTGTAAATAATCTCAATAAGGGATACAGGATGAAGGTGGTAGAGGCTTACGCCCCCACATCCAGTCATGATGACGCTTCAGTTGAAAGCTTTTATGAAGACGTGGAATCGGCAATGAGTAAGGTAAAAACACAGTATAATATACTGATGGAAGACTTTAATGCAGAGCTAGGGAATAAGCAGGCTGGAAACCAGGCAGTAGGAGATTATGGCACTAGCACTACAAATTCCAGATGTAAGCTACTAGTACAATCCGCAGAATGCAATAATTAGCGGATTCGAATACCTTCTACCGAAAACAAAAAAACCATAAGTGGACATGGAGTACACCTAATGGCGAAAATAAGAACGAAATATACTGTATATTGAGTGCAGACTCAGGCCTCGTGCAGGATGTGGAAGTGGTTGGCAAGGTACGGTGCAGTGACCATAGAATGATACGGTCTCGAATTCGCCTAGACTTGAAGAAGGAACAGCAGAAACTGATAAACAAGAAGGCAATCAATAAGCTAGCACTGAGAGGAAAGTACAAGAATTAAGAGATGCTTCAGAACAGGTACTCAGCTTTTATTGAGGAAACCAACCTTAGCGTAGATACAGTGAATGATAATCTGACCAGTATCATTACAGAGTGTGCAGTTGAAGTTGGAGGCACGGCAGTCAGACAGGACACAGGCAAGCTTTCCCAGGAAACAAAGAATCTCATTAAGAAGCACCAAATCATGAAAGTCTCAAGGACAACAGACAAAATAGAACTGGCAGAGCTTTCGAAGTTGAATAATAAGCGTTAGGGATTCGATGTAAGAAGGTATAATATGGAGAGAATTGGCTCTGAAAAATGGAGGAATTGTCAAAGCAGTGAAGCGAAAACTTGGGATATGCAGAAATTGAATATATGCACTAAGGAACAAAGAAGGAAAAATATTTACCAATATATTTAGGATAGATAAAATAGCGAAGGATTTTTACAGAAATCTGTACAGTAACAGGGACAACCACGACCCTAATAATATAAGAGCTAGCAGTAACGAAGATGACACCCTACGAGTAGTGATAGAAGTCAGAAAAGCCTTGAAGAGCATGCAAAAAGGCAAAGCTGCCGGTGAGGATCAGGTAACATTAGATATGCTGAACGATGGAGGACAGATTGTGTTAAAAAAACTAGCCTCCCTGTTTACGAGGTGTTTCCTGACGAGAAGAGTTCCAGAGTCTTAGAAAGAATGCTAACATCATCTTAATACATTAGAAAGGAGATGACAAGGACCTAAAGAATTACAAGCCCATCAGCTTGCTCTCCGTAGTATATAGCCTATTTACAAAGATAATCCCTAACACAGTTACGAAAACATTAGAATTCAATCAACCAAAGGAAGAAGTAGGATTTCGAACAGGCTACTCAACGATCAACCACATTCATACTACCATTCAGGTAATAGAGTAATGCTCAGAATACAGCCAACCACTTTACATAGCCTTCACAGATTACGAAAAGGCGTTTGATTCAGTAGAAACATCAGCAGTCAAGCAGACACTGCGGAATCAGGGCGTCGATGAAGCATATATAAACGTTCTAGAAGAAATCTACAGGGGATGAACTACTACCATAGTGCTTCATAAAGAAAGCAATGGAATACCCATAAAGAAGAGTGTAAGGCAGAAGGATAAAATCTCCCCAATGCTATTTACCACGTGCTTACAGGAGGCTTTCAGAGGCCTCAAATAGGAACAGTTAGGCATCAGAGTTAATAAAGAGTACCTTAGTATCCTGCGCTTCGCCAATGACATTTCATTGCTGAACAACTCAGGGGACAAATTGCAAATCATGATTAAAGAATTAGACAAGGAGAGCAGACAGGTAGGTATTAATGTTAATTTGTAGAAAACAAAAGTAATGTACAACAACCTCGGAAGAGAGCAGTGCTTCGAGGTAGGTAATAGTGCATTTCAAGTTGCAAAAGAACATGTTTACTAAGGGCAGGTAATAACTGCAGAGCCGAACTACGAAATCGAAGTAACTAGAAGAATAAGAATGAGGTGGAGCACATTTGGCAAGCACTCTCAAATTATGACAGGTAGATTGCCAGTATCCCTCAAGAGGAAGGTTTATAACAGCTGTATCTTGCCAATACTTAACTACGGAGGAGAAACCTGGAGGCTTACAAAGAGGGTTCAGCGCAAATGGAGGACGGCGCAGCGAGCAATGGAAAAAAAATGGTAAGTGTAACCTTAAGATACAACAAGAGAGCAGAGTGGATTAGGGAACAAACGGGGGTTAAGGATATCATAGCTGAAATCAAGAAGAGGAAATGAACATTGGCCGGGCATGTAGCGCATAGACAGGATAAGCGCTGGTCAATAAGAGTAACTTACTGAATTCTCGGAGAAGGCATGCGGGGTTAGGAAGAGATGCAATGATAGTTGGGCAGATGAGATTAATAGTTTGTGGGTATAAATTGGCAGCAGCAAGCACAGGACTGAATTAAACTGGGGGAATATGGGAGAGGCCTTTGTCCTGCAGGGGACGTAGCCATGCTGATGATGATGATCTATCATCAGCTAAATGTATGATTAGCTTCATATATCTGTTCTATTTTCTTGCATGAAGTGAGTGCCGCTCGTCCGGCTATTTATAAATTACACAAAAACGTCATTCTTCCAGTTGTTCAACAGAATCTTCAGGAATTTTACAACAAAAAATTGTTTACACGAAATAATTGGGCCTAAATACTTACTAGGTTTCGTGAATTTTATTCACAACTTTCTACCACGAAAGTATACTTTTGCCAGTCCTAGTATTTAGTACAATGTTCAATGAATATTTGGATGAATTTATGCTGTTTTAATTTGGCAAGATTATTCTGTTGGCACCACAACCACTGCATATAGTAGACTTTTCCAAAGCTTCTAAACATGTGTTACATTTATCAACTTTCTACTTCATGTATTGCTTTTTTATAGATCAGCTATTTGTTCCTTGAGAATGTCAGCACTGATGAATATGGTGTGCACAAAAAGCTGCATCATATTGTAGTAATGTGGTTATAAAGAAGTACTGCAGGGCCGATGAGAACTATTTTCTATTTAAAAGCCTGCAAATGTGCTGCTGCTGCTGCTTCAGCTTGGTAGGCATCGACAGAAAGCAAATAAATTGGTTTTGCTTTGCCTCTTATTGGCAACATCCTTATGACTTTTTGTTATGTCAATGCTGTGATATTTTGGTTGCTGTTCTTTACAAAATTTTTCACTGGGACCAGAGTATTGCACATGCTGCGTCGCTGATGTTTGTTTGAAAAGTTGACTTACTAATACAATTTTTTTTTCAGTATATATATGCTGCCCTCCTGAAAAAAACAAACTTCTGTCATCTGGAGCAAAATTGAGCATTGAAACAGCGTCACTGCAGCCATATTCACCACTTAAATGTTGTGTAATCTTATTTCCTCTTCTATCAGCTCGCGGATTTTGGGAGCTGGGAGCCAGAGCACACAACCAATTTCATCATTTAAACAGTGAGCTGCATGACTAAGCAGCAGGACTGCTCGATAATGATCATTGAAATAAAAAAAAGCATTGACAACAGAAGCTACAAGACAAAAATAACCTTCGTAAATAAAGGTGCATTGACTTTCTCAGTAATGTTCGTAAATATAAAATACGTACATACAAAAAAGAAACAGGGTCACTAAACAGTGCTTATGCGCCATTGCTGCTTCCAGAGTGCTATCAGTAAAAAATTACGTTTTTTTCTAATGAAGCAAATAGATAATCTAGAATGTGCGAGGGTAAAGGAATTTTTTAAAAATTGTCTTCCTTTAAAAATGCATTATGCAGTCCAACAAGCATTTTCTTCCCATTTTTGCAGGTGCTGTCATCTTCATAATCATACATAACCTATTAGTTTTGAAACAAATGTTCCTACTGTGTGTGTTTTGTTCAAAATTGGTCAAAACAGTTGCTTAAGAGATGGCTTACTAAAGAAGAGGACCCAATTATACTTTTTTCCCATTTTTCAGATGAGAGACACTCTGTTCATAACACTGACGCAGCTGTTACGGACGTAACAAAAGGATGGCTCGTGTTTGCTTCAGATCAAGGAATGCACCTATGTGAGAAAGCATGCCGCTACGATAGACGACTTCAAGAGAAGCCCCAGCAAAACTTCATAATCACAAGAGTTTACAAACTGGAAAAATGGCATATTGCCTTCTATATATTACGGGTAAAGTAAACCTGAAGCACTAAAAATAAAAAAATGGTCTTGCTACTTCTCGTGGGGGAGGAAGGAGGCATGAAAGATATAGAAAAAAAGTAGCCGAGGCATCAAATTGTCGCCAAGACAAAAACAAAATAAATGAGCCAGAAATTGCATTGGCCAAAATGGTTGGCTCCCATGCCAAGAACATGCTTGGCTATTGCATGGTATTCCAACGCAGTGCCAACCATGGAAAGGGGTTTTTCCAATGATTTTCCAAGCAGTGCCTTCCTTTGCTTAGCCAATGGTGGGCTTGTCACACTTTCCAAGCACATACTCCCCTTGGCCTCCAATAACTTTCCAAGCATGGACAGCTTGGCCACCGATGATTTACCATGCTTAGCCCAAGCAAGTTTCTGGTAGGGTTGGTTGAAAGGACAACGTAGCACATTGTCTGCTGCAAGTTGTCATCAAGAATAGGTGGTGGAGAAATTTGCATTACCAAACCGTTTTGAATTTGTGTGAACTTAACTACTGCGTGGCATCCATCTGCAGCAAACCTTATGTCCGATTGACTGCTTAGTAGATGTGACTTTTGAAACTATCTCTGCCAAAAGTTGCTTCTATGCAGCTATGCAAATGACAACCATCTAAACTAAATCTGTGGTGGGCATCTGTCACTGTAGAGCCTTTCAATGCAAGTTACCAAAAATAAGAGGTGATTTTCACATAAAGCTCTAAAGTCATGCAAGAACCTACCTAAATCAGCTCTCAAAGCACTGTTCACAGTGTTCATCAGTGAGTAATGAAAGAGATTTTTGAATCTCCTGTGCGGCGTGCTGCACTCACAAGAAAACAGCTGCTGCTACGACTGCAGGAAGACTTGATCACTGTTTTCCAATAAGTATAGTGTTGCAGGCTTAGCTGCGTTAATGCAGAGGAATGCGCTGCACATTGTATTAGCCTTTCATCATCTGTTCAAACGTGGTTGTGGCACAGTTACATCTCTGACTCGTTAAAATAAGTTTCCTTGCTGCTGAGGGAGGGAGACTGTATTCTGCTTAGCAGCATTTTTTGGTATTTAAGAACCAAAAACCCTCACCAATCAGTTGATGTAATCAGTATAATTTGTCCTTTTTTAATTCACTTAAAAGGCCTCGAAACACTTTTTCAATGTAACCACGAAATGAATTCACAAAATGATTTTATTTGATTCACACGCATTTACGGTAAAACATACATTTTTAACTCATCTGCACTCCCCCGTGTCACACGCATGTAGAACAGCCTTCCAGATGAAATCGTGGCTGAAAACAAACGGGAAAAATTCCGGCACCTTCTATTCACCCACTTCCAGGATTAACTGCTCGTTTTATTCATATCAAAATTGGCACCTACGCGTTTATTCACTTCTAGTATTTCGTTTTTTTTTCTCTTACTTTAAACTTACTTTTTTAATTGTTTGAATACCAACATACCATTCAGTTCTGTTGGGTAGTATTGAGTGATGTTTTGTTTTGAATAATGGAAAGTCTTTTCACAATTTGTGGTTGTTTTTTATAGCTTGTTTTACGTCATTATCTCACGCGTATACTCATGTGATTTTCATTGCCGTTGTATTCCTATTAAAATTATTAATAATATTTTCTCATTGTCATTCCTGTTAGGACATGTATAATAGTTGACAATTAGTTCATGTTACTGTTTGTATGGAAATGGTACCAATTCGTGTATGTATTTCTTTTATGCTTCCATACAGAATGCCCTGTTGGGTCTGTAAGGTATTTGGAATAAAGAATAAATAAATAAATAAATAAAAAAATGAATAAAACGAATTCAATGCCGCAAGAATTTCAAAAACCTTTTTTTGTACAAGCGGAATAACAAAAATTTGTCGCACTCTGCAATTGCATTCTCTCTTCTCTCGTCTCGACAAACGAGCTGGAAGCTAAGAGGGGGAGGGGGGTGGCGTGGTCAACAAAAACACGCCACTCACGCCTTTTGATGTTGAGAACTTTTTTTTTAAACCGCAGCTTTCTCAGTGGGATCACGTGCGCACACGTGGACAAGGCACGGCCTCCCGTGGCGATCCCTGTAATGATCGAGCGCGCCATGTTCAAATCACCCAATGTCTGGTAGAAGGCCTTATACGAGTTGTTTTTAAGCTTGCTCCATCTTTTCTTGAGAAGAGAGAGTAATGTTTAGATAAATTTGATAATTTATAGTTAATTGCATGTCATGTGCCACGCTATATTACTTAGCTCGCGTGGTGTCTGGAATCGGCAGCGTTTTGAGACCATGTTCAAAAAGTGTTTCAGGGCCCCTTTAAGCCACCGACCTCGTACTGTACTCATCACGCGATTTTGTAACCCTGCCGAAAAAGCGTCACAGTTGTCAATTACTTTGCCTGCAGGTTTCAGCTTTAGACAGTGGTTGTTGTCTATCAAAAAGCACGTTTAGTGCCTTTCGCACGTGTTTTAATCTCGGTAACCAGTCATTTCATACTGCTGTTGTGCAAGAAGAATGCCAGTGGCAGCATTAGTGGCAACATGACATTTGTTGCCGACAGTGACTCGGGCATGGCGATTACCCGGCGTATTGCTTCTGATGACGATAAGAGCAGCAGTGACGGTGATGTAGTGAGCAGTACACATGTGTGGCATTGCGTGAACGCTGATAACCAATCACTCGCGCAATAAACGTCTTAGCACTTTTCAGTTCGTTACCATGTATTGCATAATGAAAATGCTTCAGGTTTATTATGTTGTGACCCATTACCACGTCATTCATTGAGAGAAAGCCGCCCTCAACAGTAGTTTTTCTTTTTAAATTTTTGTGCGAATTCCGGAAATCGGCATGATATTAGTTTGAAAATCAGAATTGCATGGACATAATGATGATTATTTTAATGAATAACGATTTTTGTACAATTTTTGGAAGTCAAATAGGCAGTTATACGGTTAAGTGGGAAGACATCCTAGTCAGGTGTTTCAATTTCTCTTTACTGAGAGTTAATTGCACTCAATATCATCATATTTTATTGTCAGGGGACTGTATTATGTTAGTATATTGTGCATACATTACGTTCTCTGTTGGGAACTGTAAGCCATCTGCAGTGACACAAGTTCTCAGCCATATGACAAAATTGCACTTGGCTTGAAACCTAATAATTCATATGAGTGGAAGCTTGGGCTAGTTGGTGCGTAGTCATATTCGCAAGATGTTTCAGCGCGCGAACAAAGGAAAAAGGACAGCGCTCTTTCTGTCTACCCTGTCCTTTTTCTTTTGTTCGAGCGCTGAAACATCTTGCAAATATGACTACGCACCAACTAGCCCGAGCTTCCACTCTTGTGAGTTACATTTCTAGTACATCGGGCATGTGTATCTCCTCGTCTACAAGCCCTTCTCTTCTCGTCAGTTTAATCAGTGTGGCTGCTTGCCACGCACGCTCATTGGCGTACTGCATCCGGCTAAAGATACTTCTTCCCGAAGTCAAGGCGTTGTTTGGTGGCCTCACTTCCTCGGTTGACCATGGTTTAAGAGTATCCAAGATTCTACGCTCAGAATGGCTTCGGCAGGCTCGCCTGTACCGCCAAGCCCAGTAGCTACGAATCCTCGGGAACGAACGCACAGCAGTTAAACAAAAGAAGAGTCGTGAACTCTCAAGCCTCGTAGACCGAAACGTCGAGTTCATGTGGCGTCAGTCGCTCAGTTACCTGCGGGCCATATCAACAAGGAATTCTCCATCTGCTAAGGACCTTGTGCATGTTCTCGGGGATGTTTTTCTTCCCGACAACGTTAAGCACACCCTATGCCTCGGACTAACGTACGCGGTGGTACCTTCAACAACACCGCACGAGCTCCTCACTCTGGTCAGGCAAGTCGCCCGTCGTGCTCCTCACTCTGAATGTGATAGATGTGTTGGCCAAGGCGTGCAGATGCTTTCGAGATGTAATCCTTCGAACAAAGTTGTCAATACAGGAAGTACTGTCGCGTACCTAAAGGCACATTCCTTGTCACTTCCGCTGGCTGACAAGGAAGGTTGTTTTGCGGTTTTTCCTCGTTCAATGTTTAAGGTGAAAGCTATGCTGGCAACGGTCTCTTTTAAATGATGAGATTGGTCTGGATATGCTTAAGAAGCGTGCGAAAACTCTTACCGGGGCCCCGGGGTTTCAAAAGCTTTCAAACGCGATAGATAATTGCAAAAAGCTTAGCCTTGACCTGTTCTTTTCACAAAATTGACTGCCCATTGCGGGTCATTGTAACAGAAAGGGGGACCTGGCAAAAGTCTGTAGCACTTTTCTTGCAGGAAAAGCTAAAACATATAACAATAGACAATCCTTTTTTGGTCAAAAACTCTGACGCTGTTATTGACATTATTGGACGAACTAACACAGGACTCCAGGCAATGTCTGTGGATATTAAGGACTTGTATTACTCTTTGCCGCATGACCAACTACTTAAATGTGTAGATGAATCCATAGACAGGTTAGGATCATCAGCGTTCTAAACGCGTACTGGAATTCTTAACAGCAGCATATTAGAATTACTCAGTTTTCATTCCAAGGCTACTTTTGTATCATGGGAGGACAAAAACTACTTACAAAAAAGTGGAATATGTATTGGTACATGTTTGGCACGCATTCTCAGTGACATATTTCTAGCACATCAAGATCGTGTCTTGTCAAACAAGCTTGACGACTCTGTAGTTTTTAAAGTTTGGCGTTTTGTTGATGATTACTCAGTGTTGTTGAAATGCGATAGTTAAAATTTTCAGACCGTTTCCTCTAACGTGTTGACTGTTTTCCGAGAGTGCCTGAAATCACTAGTTCTAATGCATGAGTCACCCACTGATAACAACCTGAAGTTTCTAGATTTGAAGCTTTTGCTAGAATCCCGACATGTTTGCTGGAAGTATGAACCAAGAAGCGGCAAGCCACTTCTGCCTTTCATCTCAGCTCACTATAAATTGGTCAAGCGGGGCATCGCTAACCTCTGCCTTTCAATGCTTTAATGAAGTCCCGCCCCCACATGGTACACCACAGCTTTGCTCTACAAGTAGAGCGGCTTACCAAAGCTGGTTACCCCGCGCATGTCCTCGTTTCGGTGGCGGAAAAGCTGGTCACTGTCTTGAAGCGAGGTGACAAACCGGATAAGCGAAACAGTGTCAGAAAGAGCCGGCCTGTCGTACTGCCTTACGAGCACGACGTATCACACAGGCTAAAAAAGATTGCTCGATACGCCAACGTTTTTGTGGTTTTTTCTGCCCCGGAAAAATTGCAGAGGCTTTGCAAACGGGTAAATGCACCTCATGCAAATTCTGCCTTGTGCTCTGTCGCGCACAGGACACGCTACGTCCCATGCGCAGTGGGAGTCGTATACTTGATTCCACTGACGTGTGGGTGCATCTATGTCAGGCAAACCGGCAGGCGCATAAATGACCGCCTCCGAGAACACCGAAACAATGTGCACAATGTGGTATAAGGGCATCTTGGAATTCATTGCCGAGATTGTGGGTGCACTCCTCTTTTTGATCAGTGCTCAATATTGGCAAGGCACAGGAACCAGCTTACCCGAAAAATTATCAAAGCCGAAAAAATACACTTGCTAGGAGATAAATGTATAAGCACATCATCGATTGCTTTATCACAGGCTGAACGTGATTACCTAGCTGGGCTTTGAGGCAATAGAGGACCCGTCACACGTGTTTTGTTACTGATGTGTAGATTAGGCTTGCGTTTTACCTTCATGCTCTTTTATCATCCTTTTCAGCAGTATATATTGAAAAAAAAACAGCGCTCTTTCTGTCTACCCTGTCCTTTTTCCTTTGTACGCGCGCTGAAACATCTTGCTAATTCATATGTTTTGATCAGGTGCCTTGGATGAAGTAAATGTTGTGGGACCTTTTTGATAAAGCAGCTATAGGTTTCAGACTGCATTAATTATATAAATAATGAAGTCATTTTAATAATGAAGTGATTGACCGGACCAGGCGTAGGGATGATTGTGTCCTAATCTTTGTCAAAAGTGCTTTGCCTTCTTTCCATGTTAAACTTGACACTAATCATGAAATTCTTTGCGTAAATATATCTTTTCCTTCTTGTGTAAATATACTTATAGCGTGCTATCGAGCCCCTGACTCCAATCTCACGTTTATTTATGACCTTCATTCCGTCTTGCGTGGTATTTACTGTCGCTTTCCTCGTGCCAATTACTTCAAAAGTGGTGACTTCAATTTTCCCCGACATCGACTGGAATAACCTGTCCGAACCATCCCGTCATTTCAAAGTTTTTATGGATTTTATACTAATGTTCAATTTCACCCAAGCACTCAATATACCGACACCTGGCGGTAATATTCTTGATTTGGCTCTATCTCCGAAGCTTGATCTCATTCAGTCGTTATCGTGCATAAATGGGCTAAGCGACCACAAAACTGTTCTGTTCGACATGCGAATTCCGATTCTTCGTCAACTACCCTCGATAAAATATATTCAAGATTACAAAAAAAGCAAACTTCACTTGCTTCAACACCGATCTTGAAAACTTCTACAGCTTTTTAAAGGTTTCCGCCCTCCAGAGGACAGTCGAACAAAATTGGCTACTTCACAAATATAAAATTGAAGAGCTAATTGAAAAGTAT